TTCCGTTGCTTTCCCAGGCACCTTAGCAGGGAGTCGGAGGGAATGTGGAAGTGGAGCAGCCAGGACTTGAACCTGTGCTCATGTGATGGAATGCTCGCATCCCAAGCAGTGGCTTTATCAGCTATGTCACTGCACTGGCCCGCCATGGTCACCTTCGGCTGCTGTGCCAATTTATATGCATCAGAGCTCAGCCACGTTTACAGTTCAGGCCTTCAGGGGCACTGGCCACATTGGAGAGCACCGTAGGCCCGGGTGGGAGCAACTACCGTGCCAGACAGGCAGACGGTAGGACATACCTGCCATCACAGCCGTCAGCAGGGACCCTGCCCCCTCGCCCCGCTCCTTCCCCATCCCTGCTCACAGCTCCAGGAACCCTGAAAGCATTCTCATATGTGGGATACCTGCCTTTTGCTCTCTGTTAATACATCATGACCATCGCTTAGGATCAACAGATTTACATCTGAATTTGTCTTTATGATGGCTGAAAGAAAATTCTATCCTGAATGCAATAATTTAGGCACTAGACTATTGCATCGGGCACTTCAAAAAAAGATTTATTTATTTATTTATTTTAAAAGATTTATTCATTTTTATTGGAAAGGCAGATAAACAGAGAGGAAGATCTTCCTTCCAATGGTTCACTCCCCAAGTGGCCGCAGCAGCCGGAGCTGAGAATATTTGAAGCTAGGAATCTCTTCTGGGTCTCCCATGCAAATGCAGGGTCCCAAGGCTTTGGGCTGTCCTCAACTGCTTTCCCAGGCCACAGGCAGGGAGCCGGATGGGAAGCGGAGCTGCCAGGATTAGAACTGGTGCCCATATGGGATCCTGGCACATGCAAGGACTTTAGCAGCTAGGTTACCACTCTGTGTTCCCCCCCCTCCTTTTTTTTTTTTTTTACAGAAGATTTATGAAGGGCAGAGCAATAGCGAGGGAGAGATCTTCTATCCTCTGATTCACTCCCCAAATGCCCACAGCAGCCAGGGCTGGGCCAGGCTGAAGCCAGGAGTCTGGAACCCCATCCAGGTCTCCTACATGGGTGGCAGGGACATGACCAATTCTTGACCATGCCCACTGCCCCTTGGGTGGGCATCCGTAGGAGCTGGATGGAAGCAGAGCCAGGACTGGCGCCCAGGTTCTGTCACTGTTTGTGGGGGAGACTTGCTGAGTCCGTGACACAGGCCAGCACAGTTCAGCAGGCTGATGGCGGCGTCCTGGCTCACTCCCTCCTGTAGCTCCGTGAGGGCCAGCTCAGGTGAGGGTGGTGAAATGATGCTGAGTGAGCACCTCCCGGGGACGGACAGGGGCGTGCTTGGCCAAGGGACATGTCAGGGACAGGGGCTGGCTGGCCCATGCAGGCAGTGACCCATTTGACCTCTGTGGCCTTGGCTGAGGCCACCCTGGCTTGCCGACCTCAGCCTCTCCCTCACCCCAACCTGTAGCAGTGTGTCCCCTGTGAGGCCTGGGTGAGGATCAGGGTCAGGCACCCCAACTTCATGTTAATCATCAAACCCAGGGTGTGTATGGGGGTCACACGCAGTCTAGGAAAGACACCGTGCCCAGGGCTGCAGGTCCTTTGTATCACTCACCTCCCATCCCACAGAGAGGGCACCTGAGGCTCAGACAGGGAAGGGGCACAGATCTGAGGCTGTCACCCCCTCAAAGCCTTCCACGGCTTCAGCCCTGCACCCCAAGAACGCTCATGGGCCCTGGCACTGCCCTTCCTCCTGGTCCTATTGATGACATTTTCTCCATGCCAGACACATGTTACACAAATGTGTGTAAACCCAACCATCACGCATATGAGCCACAAAAGGGTGTCCCGTTGGTGAATTCCGCGTCCCTGCCTGGGACACCCCATGTCCACCAGGTCCAGACACACTCCATGAACTGAGTTCCTCGTGCAGCTCAGCCTTCGCTTGCTGCACATGGCCTTTCCAGCTCCGACCTTGCCCCTCCTTTGCACCCCCTGTCCGCAACGCCCAGGCTCTGGAGACCTCTGCCTGGGGCTCCCAGCCCTGCCCACTCCCACCTGCCGCTGTCCGGTGGTACTGATCAGAGTCATCTTTACCAGCCCAGGCTTGTTGTTGGAGGCTAAAGGTCCCAAGCACTGGTACTCAACAGAGGCTCCAGGGCAGCTCCCAGTGTATGGCTGAGCTGCCTGAGTGGGTGTGGTCTGGAGGAGCACTCAGAGGTCTCTGTGCCCGGGAGGGTTGAGGGGATGCTGCCCCTCGCAGGCTGGCTGGCTGGCTGGCTGGCTGGCCGGCCTGGGTCTCCATTTACAACAGAGCCCAGCAGTGCGTGAGTCACAAACAACCTGGTGGGAGAGGGCTGACCTCGGCCCTTGTCCTCCTCTATCTTCCGCCTGAGCCCTGGAGCCAGGGGACTGTCCCTTTAACACGAGAGGAGGGGCCACGGCAGGAGGAGGCGGCCGGAAGCAAGACAGAACTGGTGTCCAGGCAGGCAGCGTGTGCAGCGTCAGGGACACCTCCTCTCCACCCGGGGCTGGACTGAGCGAGGGGCCAAGGTGGTCCCAGGACTGTCAGGCAGGCAGGTAAGAGGTCTGGGACCCCCTGGGGACTCCTGGGACTCCACCTATGTGAATGTGAGAGTGGGGTGGTCTGGGGGCAGCCAGGCTGCTGGATAGAAACTAGGGACGGGGGGGGGGGGCGGGGAGGAGGGTGTTCTAACCCTCACACCCAGGTACCCTCCATTCTACAGGGGATGGCAAGCACCAGTACCCGTGGGTCAGCAGCAAGGGTCCTGCAGGGCAGAGCTGGACACTGTGTCCACCCTGCAAGCCAGCTTCTCAGCCCTGGCTCTTGGGTTCCAAAGAATAGGCGAGGTCCAGGCTAGGGTATGCTGGGTTTGGGAATGTAGGGTGACATACAGGCTCCCCCTCTCTTAGTGTCCACTGGAAATGTGCTCTAGCAGAATGCTCTTGCAGAAGCTGGGTGGAGGCAGCTGAAGCTTTGCCCTGCCTGGGGCAGTGGGGTGTAGCACCATCCTGCCAGGGGCGCAGCGTCAAATTCTGGATTCTCTGACCTGGGCACCCCTGCCCTGACTTAAAAGTGGACAAGAGTTTAGGTTTGTGCGAGTTGGGGGTGGTGGTGAGGGTGCAGCACTCCCTCTAGTGGCCAAATAGTGGAACTGCGCAGAGGGGCCCAAGGCTTTTCTGCCCCAAAGGGTAAAAGGGGGCTGCATTTCCTTTCTGTCTTAGCGCTCTCTCTTCCTTACCCCCTTACCCCATTTGCTCACCCACTAGTACCTTCCCACGGCAAATAAGATTAAAGTAACAGGGGCCCTCCCCACTGTAGGCTGTCACCCACCAGGCTGCCCTGCCCCTCCCCTCTCCACCCCCTACTCTTTTTTTCTGTGCAAGGAGCAGCAGTCCAAATTCACTTCTTCCCCAAGAGGAGTTACCAGTTACTGTTCCCTCTGCACAGGCGCTCTGTCCCGGGCTCCCATTGTCTCCAAGCTCCCCCTGGGAAAACCTACAGATCCGATCCAGAATAGGAATCCTGTGATGCACCTGCTAAAAACCCCAAACACCACGTACCAACCACTTGTCTCCTCTCTTTTTATTACATTTGATGAGATGGTTAGAAACACAGGCAATTTGGGCTGACGTTGTGGCTCAACAAGCTAATCCTCCATCTATAGGCGCGTATGGACACTGTTTCTAGTCCCAGCTGCTCCACTTCCCATGCAGCTCCCTGTGTGTGGCCTGAGAAGGCAGCAGAGGATGGCCCAGGTCCTTGGGCCCCGGCGTCCACATGGGAAACCCAGAAGAAGCTCCTGGCTCCTGGCTTCAGATTGGCTCAACTTGAGCTGTTGCAGCCATTTGGAGAGTGAACTAGCAGATAGAAGAGTTTTTGTCTTTGTAAGTCTGTCTTTCAAATAGAAAACAAATACATTGGAAAAAATGTAAGCAATAGGCAGCTATCTGCTGAAAATGAAGCCGTGCCTGGCAGGGGACAGTTCCCGAGACAGGGCAATAGCTGTGATGGCCCAGGTGCCTCACACCTGGTACCTGCCTCCCACGAGGAGAGCTCAGATGGAGGTCCGGCTGCAGCCGAGGCCAGCGCTGGCTGAGGAGGGAACCAGCAGGTGGAAGATCTCCCTCCCTCCCTCTGCAGACAACTAGATGAACATAAACACACATTTAAACGAAGTCAATGCTTACTGAATGTGCACATTCAGCAAATTGGAACAAATATATATAGTCGTGGAACTACATGCAGCTTCATTGTTTTAAAAAGCTCTTGACTGGTTTATTCATTTGTTTGGAAGAGGGAGAGAGAGATCTTCCATTCACTTGTTCTCTTCCCAAACGATCACGAGCTAGGCTGGGCCAGGCCATAGCAGGGGCGAGGCTCTCACGTTGGCGGCAGGGCCCCAGGTACTTGGGCCGTCCTCTGCTGCCTTCCGAGGCATGTCAGCAGGGAGCTGGGTTGGAAGCACAGCAGGCAGAACTCAAGTTTGTGCGCCTGAATGGGACGTGAGCACCCCAAGCAGAGGCTTCACACACTATGCCACAATGCTAACCCCAGTCATAACCAAAGTTTTCAATCCTTTCTCTCTTCCAAAACACCTCCCCACCACCCCCCAACATCACGCCTGTTTGAAATTCTAAGACTCCGGCTCCCCAGGAGCACATGGGTTCGAGCTGAGGTGGAGGCCTCGGCAGCTGGAGTTGCTCGGCATACAGTAGAGGCTTAGCAAACGTTTTTTTTTTTTTGTTTTGTTTTGTTTTGTTTTTTTGTGATAAATGCGTGATTGATGGGTGAGCGGCCCGTCACCTCACTTGCCCGTCACCATGTGCTGGCTGAGTAGGCGGAGCCCGGAGCTGCACAGCTCGGCTGCTGTGGGCTGGGGGGTTGTCAAGCCGAGGGTTTCTCTGACTCCCCTCCCCCTGGCCTGCAGCTCCCCGGGCTGTGAGTGTCCTGTCCTCTGGAGGCCTTCTGGGTGGTGGCAGCGGCATGGAGAGCCACAGCAGCCAAACTGTGCCCTTCCATGTGACCACGCCCCTGCTAGAGAGCTGGGCTTTGTCCCAGGTGGCGGGTACCACCATCCTCCTTAAGTGTGAGAACGTGCAGCCGGTTGGCTCCTTCAAGATCCGTGGCATTGGGCACTTCTGCCAGGAGGTGAGGAGGCTCGGGTGGGGCTTGGGCAGCAGGGGGAGGCACGGGCGGTGTCTGACTCCACCACGCTTGGGTCTCCCCGACACTTGCTGGGTTCAGCTGCCCCCTCCCCTCTCTTCCGCAGATGGCCAAGAAGGGATGCAGACACCTGGTGTGCTCCTCAGGTGACTTCCCCCCTCTCCTCTCTCCCTCGTGGGGCTCCTCGGGCTGCAGGGCTTGGCTGAGGGAGGAGCTGGCTGGAGCAGGTCCCCTTTTGGCCCTCTTCTGGAATTCAGGACTTCCCGTGGTGGCGAGAGACACCTAACCCATTCGGCTGTAAGCCACAGGCTCCGAGGATCAAACGTTCTTGGGATGAGTGGCGTTCAGGCGTGGCTGGATCCGGGAATTCTGTTTCTGTGTCTCTCCTTCCCTTGACTCGTCTCCTCCATTGGCCTCTGGGTAGCAAACATGGCCACCCAAAGCCATAGGCTTGCTTCCCACTGTCCTACAGTCCTGGGGACTCTGAAATCATAGAATTGGGTCACAGAAGCCAATCCTGGGTCAGAGGGGGCAGGGGAACAGTTCTCTGATTGGCTGTCTGCAGCACCATCAGAGGCGGAGTCAACAGAGGGGGCAGATGAAGGTGGGGAGGAGGGGGTTCCCTACGGGCCCTGAAGGGCAGGGGACAAGCTGTGTCTGCAGCTACTGCAGCTCTGCCCACCTCGCCCCCTTCTGCCACCTCCTTAGGGGGCAACGCGGGCATTGCCGCCGCATATGCTGCTCGCAAGCTGGGCATCCCTGCCACTATCGTGCTCCCCGAGGGCACCTCCGCGCATGTGGTGAGGAGGCTGCAGGGCGAAGGGGCCAAAGTCCAGCTGGCCGGAAAGGTAAGGCTTCCGGCAGAAGAAAGCCTGCTAACCTACTGGCGTGGGCAGTGCCCCCCTGCCCAAGGCCCCACCAGAGCAGACCTGGCTCCCTTTGGTGAACTTAAACTCTGGTTGGGACCAGAATTCTCTTAGGGCGGGAGCAGGTGCAGAGTGTGGGAGTGGGTGTGCTGCCTGCTGCTACTTGTCCCCCACGCCCAGCAAAGGCCACCCTGCGTGGGACCAGGAGAGGCAGAGTGTGTGACTGGCAGCAGAGCGTCTCTTGCTTCTCCTCACCAACACTTGGTGTGATTCCAGTTTTTGCTGCTGACTAGACAAACAGTGGGAAGAGAGAGGCCAGAGAGAGGCACACAGTTAAGGAAATCAATGATCACGGGTTTCCTTTGTGACCAAAGAAACAGACCTGAAAGTGTTATCTTTCTCCCCTCCCTCCTAGGGGGAGGGAAAGGGCCCTGCAGATAGAACAAGCTGTAGGTTTCAAAAGCAGCTGAACGCTAAAGGGAGGCGCATCCACATGGCCCCGGCAAGTCACTCTCCCTGCACTTGGTGACAGCACCTCTTCCCTCGTCAGCCTCCCCCTGGCCCCTACCCCTACCTATTGCTTCTCCTCCTTGGCTTGTCTCCTTCCACGTGTCATCTGTCTCGCCGTCCTTCCATCCAGAACCTTCTCTGTCTGCCTCTCTCCCTTCCTCCATCCAGTCCCTATGCATCCCTTATCTGCCCATCACTCCCCTATCCATCTATCATCTCCGTCATCCACTTATCAACCTGCCCGCCCGCCCGTCCATCCATCCATCCATCCATCCATCCATCCATCCATCCATCCATCCATCCATCCATCCATCTGTCCGTCCATCCGTCCGTCCGTCCATCCATCCATCCATCCATCCATCCATCCATCCATCCATCCGTCCATCCATCCATCCATCCGTCCGTCCGTCCATCCATCCATCCATCCATCCATCCATCTCTTCACCCATCCACTCACCATCATCCAATGTTCACACATTCTGTGCCTGGCGGTGACCGCGCCTGCTGTCTGGGATGAGTCTGGGATGAGGCAAGCGCAGACAAACCACATAAACAAGCTACGAAGCAAGTGGCTCCATCTTCAGTGCCAGAGAAGTGGTGTGGCTCATGAGTCTGTGGGCAGACCAGCCTGGTTCTGCTTGGTCATGGCCAGGATCCAGGTCTGCAGATGTGTGGCCTGTCCTTCTCAGCGTGTGACCTCATAGGGCTTGCTTCTCTCAGGAGGAGCAACACATGGTGTCTTTTAGGATCTGGGGTTGGCACTGACTCACCATCTGTCTTTGGCTTTGACTGACCTCAGTGAAGGAGAGAATGTGAACTCCACGCATCACAGCAGGTGCAGCCAGGCCAACCCTGGAGGTCACATGCTTCTGATGGAGGAAGAGCAAAGAGCTGGAAGCCCCAGAGCTGGCCTAGGGCTCTTGGCTGTTCACCTGCCAGGCCAGCTTGGCTCCACCTTGCCCAGCAGGGTAGCGGCACAGCGACAGTGGGGAGAGCTTGGCACTGTTTGAGCAGGGTCCTTTGCCCTTGGCCCAGGAGGCCTCTGGGTCCACATCAGCTCTCCCCCCTTGTGGGTCTCCTAGCCCCCAGTCCTGCCTCTGAGCCCAGGTCTCTGAGGGCTCTCGCTCTTTCTTTAGGTCTGGGATGAGGCTAATCTGAGGGCCCAGGAGTTAGCCAAGAGGGAAGGCTGGGTGAATGTCCACCCATTTGACCACCCCCTGATATGGTAAGGCTGGTACCCGCCCCCACCCTGGGAGGCCCTGATTGGGTCACTCTCCCCCCACGGGGCAGAAGGACAAACTGAGGCCCAAGGGGGAAAGGAGGCCTCAGGAGCAGATGCTGTATCTGCTGCCCATGAGTTGTATGCCTTTGAGCAAAGCACCCCAGCACCCCAGGCCTCAATTTCCACATGTGTCAGGTGGAAGCGTTAACACGAAGTCTCCTTCACAGGCCAGTGAGTGTCCCCATTCTATTTCAGTTATCCTCCCCAAAAAAGCCCTGGAGGTGGGCGCTGGTATGCCCATTTTACAGATGGGCAAGCTGAGGGAAAGAATGGTTGTTCAAATTGCCAGAGATCGCACAGCTGGGAAGTGGCAGGGACAATTGAATCAGGCTGGTTCGCCACATACACACACACACACACAAACCTGCCTCTGCAGACTTTGGGGTGGAATTAAGTAAGATAGCATTAAAAAAAACAAACAAACAAACAGCAGGGAGCTTGGTGGTTCAGAGAAGTAGCAGGCCTGGGTGAAGCAGGTGTTGCAGAACTGGCTGGGGTTTAGGCGCCTATGGGATAGGGTGCCCATCCCTGTGATTCTCCCACATTCTGGGAGTGCCCAGGGCTAGGGGCCTCTCTCACTCTGCCTCTTCCTCCTTCCCACTCCCTAGGGAAGGCAATGCCAGCCTGGTGCACGAGCTGAAGGCAGCCCTGGGAACCCCACCAGCAGCCCTGGTGCTGGCTGTGGGGGGTGGGGGACTCCTGCTTGGGGTGGCAACTGGCCTGGAGGAGGTGGGCTGGCAGCAAGTACCCATTGTCGCCATGGAAACCCGAGGGGCACACTGCTTCCATGCAGCCATCGAGGCAGGAGAACTGGTCACGCTGCCAGACATCACCAGGTGAGATTGGGCTCGGGGCAGCGGGTGGCTGCTGAGGAGCATCCGTAACTACAGTGACAAACGCTTGAGTCAGAGACTGTGCTAGATAAGGGATATATTTATATTATTTATTTTTAAAAGGTTATTTATTTACTGGAAAGAATTATAGAGAGAGGAGGAGAGACAGAGAGAGGCAGAGATCTTCCATCTGCTGGTTCACCACTCAGAAAACAGCCACAACAACTGGGACGAGGCCAGACTGAAACCAGAAGCCAAGAGCTTCTGTTGAGTCACCCATGTGAGTGGCGGGTGCCCTAGAACTTGGGCCTTCCTCTGCCGCTTCTCCTAGGCTGGATGGGAAGTGGAGCAGTCACGACGCAAGCTGTCAGATAAGTTAGAAAACATAGGCGAGCAATAAGGAACAGAAAACCAAAGGTCCTGCTGCATGCCACTATCCAAAACTTCTGCAGTCACATCTTCCGCAGTTTTTTCCTGGCCCAAAGAAGTTGCTCAGAAATGTTTGAGACGTGAGTGAGTGAAGTAATCATATAGTTAGGAAGTTTGGATTCATAGTAGAAGCACTAAGTGACATTCACGAAGCTGCCATTTTAATAAGTGTCACCACCATTCATCCAAGTGCTCTGGCTGGGGGATCCTTCCCTTCCCCCATCCCCTGTGTCACCCAGGGACACGTTTAATGAGACACATTTCAGGGTTTGGCTATGCCTACATTCCATAGGGGTCCATTTGAGTTTCAGCTGCTCCACTTTCAACCCAGTTCCCTGTTAATCCACCTGGGAAAGCAGTGGGAACTGACCCAGGTTCTTGGGCCCCTGTACCCACATGGGGGACCTGGAAGAAACTCCAGGCTCCTGACTTCAGCCTTGCCAACCTTGGCCTTTGTGACAATTTGAGCAGTAAACCAGTGAATGAAAGATGCTCTACCTTTCAAGTAAGTAAAAGCCAAATCTTTAACATACAAGAGAGATACAGTTCACCTACCACACGATCAAACAATGGGGGTCGTTGGCATCTTCACAGCTTTATGCTACTGTCCACACAATCCATTTTCAAGCACGGTGTGCCCTGCCTCCTCTTCCTTCTGGCTTCCTTCTGCAGGATTCTTCTCCCCTCTATGCCCAGAAATGCCTCCCCAAGGCCCCAGGCTTGGCTCTCTCTCCTCTGCACCCCACCTGCCTGCCCCCTGGCCTACGGTTTGCTGACTCTGACGCTGTTCCCTCCGCCTCACACCATCTTCCTCTTGTCCCCATCCCCCGACTGTGAACCCATAGCCCGCTGCTGACAAGCTGAGTGTCTTGGGCCTGGTGCCCTAACTTCTCTGAGCTTCCATCCCCTCTGCCCTGTAAAACATTTCTCACTCAATGATGCTTAAAGCACGCGTCTGGCACACTGAATGCACTTGTAGTACAGATGAGAGCAGCAGCAGGCAAGGAGAATAGAGAAAAAGGATTCCTAGTGTGCTTGGCTGTGTGTGGGGGGTCTCAGCAAGGGATGGCACAGGTGGGGTGGGGTGTGGAGTGAAGCTGACTGCATCCCTGGGGTTGTGGGATGGGCCGAGAGGAGGGCTGCCTCTGCGTGGGGTAAAGGAGACCCTGTCTCAGCTCGCCCCTTGATCCATGCTGCAGCGTGGCCAAGAGCCTGGGGGCCAAGACAGTGGCGGCCCAGGCCCTGCAGCGTGCCCGGGAGTGTGAGATCCTGTCTGAGGTGGTAGAGGATGCCGAGGCCGTGCAGGCCGTGCAACGGTTCCTGGGTGAGTGTCCCTGCCCCTCCACCCCCACGTGCAGGGCTCTGCCCGGTCACCTGCCCACTCACTCATGTCACCCTTGCCGTGGCTCTCTGGCCCTGCGGCAGTCCCCGGTCCTCCTGGGTGAGCTGCTCCTGTCCAGGTCCTCAGTGTGCAGGAATCAGACAAGTGCAGCAGCTGCTGAGGAGTAGCTGGAGGAGTGTGATGTTCAGTGATCACGGCACCTCCTCCGGGAAGCACCTCTCCTTCCCCATCCCACCTGAGTTGGGGACTTCCTATGGATAAGCGGCAGCTCCAGGACTAAGCCATGAACTTCCGAAGGGAGGGGCTGGGGTGTCTGACTGCTGTGTCCCAAGGCTTCCTGGCACAGGGCCTGGCAGGGGGTGGGACACTCAATGAATATTTGTTGAGCGAGTGGACGAAGGTATGAGTGAGGAGAAAATCAGCTAACAGTGGCGGGATGGACAGAAGGATTGATGGGGCCATGGACTGATGAATGGACATGTTGATGGATGGGTAGACAGTCCCATGATGGATAGGGGCCGGATAGACGGTTGATGGATGGATGGACATTGATGGATGGACGCTCTGCTAGATGGACAGACAGACAGTCTGCTGATGGATAGAGGAGTGGATGGATGGAGAGATAGGTGAAAGGCAAATGATGGATGACGACACAGGTGGATGGCGGATGGCTGGAGGGACGGATGGGTAGCGGCTGGCTGGCTGGGTGGACGGAGCTGCAGTGCCCGGTGGGCACTGACTGGTTCCTCCCTGTCCCCTGCCTGGGCAGATGATGAGCGCATGCTGGTGGAGCCAGCTTGTGGGGCAGCCTTGGCCGCTGTCTACTCCGGCCTCCTGGGGAGACTGCAGGCTGAGGGCCGCCTACGCTCTCCCCCGGCTCCTGTGGTGGTCATCGTGTGTGGCGGCAACAACATTAACAGCCGAGAGCTGCAGGCTCTGAAGACGCAGCTGGGCCAGAGCTGAGGGGCCCCCCCGAGGACCCCCGACGGGCACGTTGACTCCAAGGTGTGGGGCAGTGGAAGCTGCCCTGTGTGCCTGGGCAGGCCACCTCCAAGGGGAAGCCCTCCTGATCCACTCCTTCGGGCTCCATGGCAGCCCCATTAATAAAGCCTCTTTAAGTTGCATTTGCTCCTCCTGCGTGTCCCATGTTTCCATGTATGCAAACGCAGAGAGGGCACACAGCAGCCCAGAGCCTGCACAACCTGAAGCCTCGGGCCTCGAACAGAAGCCAGCTGAGTGGTGTGCCATCAGGGGAGCCCCAGCATGGAGGCCTGGGGGCAGGTTCACCCCTCACACCCAGTGGGGAGTCCTACCATGGGCATTCCTTGTGCCTGACCCTCATCCGGAGACTTCCCACCTGCCGTCTTCTTTGATGTCCCTTAACAAAGAGGCAGCCATTCTTACCATCCCTGACCTGGGGAGACAGAGGCACAAAACACCGCCAGGACCCACCCCCGAGCATATGGCTGGCCAGCTTTTCAGTGTCACCTTAGGAGGTGGGATCTGGACTCTCTGGAGGGCTGGAATGTTGGCAGAGGGAGTAGGTCCTCCTACCCTGGCCCAGGTTGATCTGGATACACCTTAGGGGTCACAGTGTTGAACCCGAGGGACCCCTGAGCTGTGCCTTAGGAAACCACGTGGACGTTAAACCCCAGATGGCCACAAGGGGGCAGCACAGTGTCTCCGATGGGGCTGGCAGGCTCAGGGCCCCAGAGGTGCCCCATGCGTCTTGGTGGGCTTGATGCCCTGCAGGACCTCCCACCCTAGTAGGGGTGTTGAGGGCCTGGAGATGGGCCAGCTGTGGTCGGGGCATGCAGGGGTCCTTTCCTGTCCCTCACAGCCTTGCCGAGAAATGAAACTCGGGCAGCATCCGGCTATCCTTGCGTCACAGCCCCGGGCGGGACTGGCTCCTGTCCACTTCTCCCTGTTTCCTGGGCCCTTGTCCTGTTTCAGGGGGCTGTGTGACCTTGCACCAGAGCCCTGCCTTCTCTGGGCCTCAGGCTCAAGCGTGCTGCGGGAAACTCGCCTCTCGCTATTCACCTCCTTTCCTTCCATCAAGGGCAGGATTGCAGAGTATGGCGAGTTCCTCGGTTCCCATGGCCTTCTGTCTCTTTCTCTAACCCCAGTCACAGTCTGTAGCTGCCAAGGTCCCCCCTGCCTCCAAAAAGCCCTTGTCCCCAAGGACCCAAGCCGGCCGCCGCACCTGTAACATGCTATGAACTTCAGTGGTTTCACTGCCACAGCCTCGCTGCTCCTGGGCATACACACTCTGCAAGGATTCCCCCAGGAAAGTGCAGACTCCTCCTGGAAGGCTCCCTGGATTGCATCCCCCCATCTTGGCAGACCCACTTGCCCACCTGCATTGCAGGTGCTGTCTCCCATCTGGACCACCTTCACCCACTGCACCCGTGCTGGGTCTCATGCTGTTGGCTGCCCTCCTGGGAGAGTCACCGGCTGCTGTTTGTTCTTCTCCTGGTCTCTGAGAGCCAGAGATAAGGAGCTGAGGCACTGTTGACCCTGTGTAGATAATGCACGTCATTGGCCTTTCCTGCCTGGCACCTGGCTTGGCGGAGCGCAGTGGGGAGGCATGAGCAAAGAGTGGGACACAGGTGTGAGGCTGCGCTGCGGCTGCCGGGACACAATGTGGCAGCCACAGGCTCTGTGATCGGGGGGGCTGCGCTAGGGCTCTGCCCGTGCGCCCCTTAGGCTGGTGAGGTTGGGGCCTCCCAGGAGGTGCTGGGAGTAGGGTTGCTCTGTGGACCCAGGTATGTGTACCTGCCTGGGGTACGCTCAGGCCCCCACCCACCTCTGTGGCTTCTGGCAGCTTAGGAGCCTTCTGTCTGTGTACCAACCTGGAACAGACACCCCAAGTCCAGCAGTTCCCACTTTCCTGCCTTCAACTAGGTGACAGGGTGGCTTGCAACCTGGCCCAGCCCCACTCAGTTTGTTCTGGGTATTTAAGAAGTGAGTCCACGGGCGAGGGTGCCTTCTCTCTCATCTCCTCCCTCCCTGTTCAAATCTCCGAGCAGGCCAGCCTGTGCTGCTCCTCACGGGGCAGACGGCACGTGAACTTGTGTCTCAGCCCAGCGTCCTCTCTCCTGCCCCTCTATCTGCCCCGAGTCTACCCGGTCCCCTGCCTGGCATCTCCCTGTAGACTCAGCCGACCCACGTGGGCCCCCTCCTCCTGACCGTCCCCTTGGCCTCCCACCTGCCTCCCCTGCCCCACCCCGTGTTTGTGCTTTCTGAACGCCACCAAAAATGCCACGGGCCGCCTCCTCACTTGGTTTCCAAGCTCCCTGATAAATTCCGCTGGCTGGGCGACCCCACGAGAGGTTTTTCTGGAGCAAGGAACCCCATAAATCACGGCACTGCCACTCCAGCGTGGGCAATATCTTATGTAAAAGGCATTCCCAGGGTGCGCCACAGGCAGGAGAATCCTATTACAAGCCACCCCATTCATTATAAAGAGTCAAGTCGACCCTTTCATGCGATTTTTTATCTTAAGTCCGAAAACTGATTACCTTCACCAATTCTTCCCCTTCCAGAAAGATCTAAGGAATAAAATAAATGTTTGAAGAACAAATACCCAAGTTTCTCCTTTTAGGGGAGAGCGAGCGGAGAGAGGGAGTGAGCGAGTGGAAGGGGCCTTGCTCTTTGGAAGGCCACATTGCTGGAGGCTTAGCCCCACAGGTGTGTCTTCCTGGAGCCTCCAGCCCCGTGCGTGGGCTGTTGAGTCCATCTCAGGTTGGGGATGCAACAGACTGAGGCTCGCCTGCAGGTCGATGGTTTAGCTCATTCTCTCAGGGTGGCGAGGGAGCCAGAAATGGAGCCTGACTGGTTGTTTAGAGATCTGGGTTCAAATCTCACCTCTGCTTCTTAGTGGGTGGAACCCAGGTCAGGTGGATTCCTACTGGAGTAGGGAGTTAGACATGACTTGAAGGTTCCTGGGAAGCAAACCTGCCCAGGATGCTTACCAGGTGGGTACTTCCATGGTGCCCAGTCAAAACTGCTCCCAGTCGCATGCCTGATGTGTTTGCCACCAGCAGCTCCACATCTGCCATCACCCTCCCCGTTAAACCACTCCCCAGGGACCCTGGATGCCTTAGGACACAGGGCCAGTCCCTCCCATGTGTCTGGTTTCTGCCATTCCTTGGGGTCCCAATGGCTTTTCCCAACCATTCCCCATGACCCCCCTCTGTCGTCCCAGGACCCCCTGAGCTCTTTCCTGGGCTCTCAGCCAAGTCAGCGACTTCCCATGCAGGCCTGGGCTGTGATGCCTGAGTCTGGGATTGGCTACCCAGGCTGCCACCAGGCCAGGTCTTGGGTGAAGGCGAGAAGCACTTGCCTTGGGAACGAATAGCCTGGGGTTCGAATCTCGACTCCACTTCCTGTTCTGGCTTCCTGCCAGTGTGCACCCTGAGAAGCAGCAGCAGACAACTCAGGCACTTGGGTCCCTGTGCCCAGCGTGGGAGACCTGGATTAGGTTTCTGACTCCTGGCTACAGGCTGGCACAACCCAAGCTGTTGAGGGCATTCGGAGTCAGTGAACAAGTAGACAGGAAATTGATCTCATTTTCTCTTTATCTGCCTTGCAAACAAACAAGCAGAAGTTAACATTTTAAAATGAAGCTGGACTGAGAAAATGGAAGCAGAGGCACAAACCCCAGTGATGAGTAAGCTTCCACGGGAGGTGGGCTCTCACCTGTGACCCGTGTGGCTCCTATCTGCCAAGTCACCCTGACTCATACACCTGCCTTGAATTGTATGGTCTGTCTGCATGCATTGTTGATTTTCCAGACTATGATGCGAAAATGCTATTGGTCTTGGTACCTGGGTTTTGGATGCCTTCCCTCCTCCTCCCCCGTACACTATGCATCTGGGTGCCTGTCGCGTTTGCCTTGCTCGGGGTCGGCCCAGCTCAGCGCCCTTGCAGGTGCTCACATGCTCTCCATCTCATCCATGTCTCATCCCACTGCGGTTGGCGGTCACTCCACCTGCCTGTCCCTCTCTGCCTGACTCCCCAGGAGCTCTCCACCCTGCCAAGCCCTGGCTTGAACCCGTACTGCTCATATCTGTGACCTGGAAGAGTGCCCAGGGTGGGCTAGGTCTCCGGCAGATACTGGCTGAATAGCTGAGTGGGTAAGCAATGAGAAGGAGGCTCACAGAGTCAGGGTTTGGCCCGCTCAGCTGCACTCCAGGGTCTTTTGGTTCACTTCCCATCCCCATTTTTTAGATGAGAAGACTAGGGGTTCAGCACAGTGGTTTAGCAGTCTAATCTTCTACCTGCAGAGCTGGCATCCCATACGGACACCTGTTCTAGTTCCAACTGTTTCACTTCCCATCCAGCTCTTTGTTTATGGACTGGAAGGCAGCATAGGGTGGCTCAGGTCCCTGGGGCCCTGCACCCAGGTGGGAGACCTGGAAGAAGCTCCTGGCTCCTGGCTTCAGACTGGCCCAGCTCCAGATTCTGTGGCCATTAGGGGAATAAATCAGTGGATGGAAGCTCTCTTTCTCTCCTTCTATCTATAAATCGGCCTTTCAAATACAAATAAATGAATCTTTTAAAAAATACGAGGAGACTGAAACTCAGAGAGGGTGAGCTACCTCATTAGAGTCACATAGCATAAACATGGCAAAGCGAGTCCCAGAATGAAACCCACGGGCAGCACGGCGAGGGCACAGATGAGCTGGAGTTGGGCCAGGCGGGGGCCGGCTGGCTGTGAGCAGACATTCTTTGGATGTATCCCTGCCCCCAAGCCCGTGAGGCCACACTGCGTATATTGCAGGCATCACCTCAGCTACCACCTCATTCATGTTTTTGTCAAAGCCATCAGCAGTGTTTGGAAAGAAAACATCAACACCTTCCTGAATGCAGAGACAGTATCTCTCCCCAGCACTTGATACAATTTATAGGAACAGATACAAGAAGAAATGAAACAGTGCTTCTGGTCAACCACGCCTCCTAGCCTGAGCCTGCAGTGTGTTTGATAAGCAGGTGTTAGATGGGGCTTCTGAGGCTGCCCTGGGGATGACCAGCCCTGGGCGAGGGCAGGGGCGGGCAGCTGTGTAA